AAACTGGATTTTGTCTTCTTAGGCCCTGGCAAGCCATTATAGATGTTTAGGGAGGGCAGAATCAGCATAAACAAGTCTGCAAATCATTTTAGCTACCAAGGAGGCCCTTTTGTCCGGAGAATTGGCATCTGCCTCTGAGATCAGCCTCCCTGCTAGGGAGGTATTTGAGGCTTTCACTGGAACAGCTGATCAAGAGCAGCCAGAGGGAAGGACCACGCTGTCAGGCCCAGCCTCGTGTTTGCAGACAGTGGTGGAGACTGACAGTGATGGTGTTGATGGACCAGAATTCTAAGAGCTGAAGGGTTTGGACGCACATCACGTCCCACGCTAATGGCAGAGCTGGAACTAGCCTCTGTGCTTCCTTAGCTTGCTCGCCCAGCAGGGAGGCAGGAGAAATGTCACGATTGGGAAGGCCTGAGGGTCCCAGTAGGCAAACCATACTTCTATTGCCACACTTCTGCAAGAATAGGCCCTGACTGGGCTCCAGAATGAGAATGCTCCTTCAAGGCTCTTAGGCCAAAGGAGACATGGATTTTGGCGTTTCTTGCTCCTGGGGTAGATACCAGCCTGGGGCAAACTTCTCCATAGTGGATAGGGAGCAGGCCTTTTGTTCCAGCTTCCGACCAGAGATGCCAGAGGCTCAGTCTTCACTGCTGTCCTGTTCATCTGCAAATGGGCAAGTTGACAAAACAGGCAAAGGTGTTCTGGGCACAGCCTGCTGACCCCATTACCAGGTGCCCTAGAAATGAACTTGGATGGGGCAGGGAAGAGCCTGAGAGGTGCTAAAGACCTGGGAGGGTGGGCATCCATCCCAGAGATCTCATGGAACAGAAGGGACTTTGTCTTTAAGATGAAGCTCCTGCTTCTTTCTTTGTCCCCTGGAACCTCTGGGCCATGGGGTCCCAGAGAGCCTGTGTCTTCCCATCTATCTCCCTCTCTATCTGTCTGCCTCCCTGCCTGGCAGGCTGCCTGCTGGCTTCTAGAGGGGAAGGACTTTGGCCACAAAAGAGAGAGTGGCGGGTCCTCTCTGCCTGAGATCTAAAGAGGCACACCCAGGCCCCCTCCGTCAGGGCAAGGCAGGGCAGGGTGCTCACAGAGGTGAGCTGGGCTGGGGTGGGGGTCCGCGGCCCATTGGCCGTCTCCTTCACCCCCAGCGCCGACCCACTTTCATTCTCCTCAGGGCATTTCCGTCAGTGAGTTGCCTTCCTTATGCTCAGAGGAATCACTGGCTGTGACAGAAAGGAGATTACAGGCTATATTTCTGCCTTGAAGCTTTCTCCAGGCTGTTGAGAGCTGGGTAGCTGTCAGTTCTCGGAAAGGAGAAATGTGTGTATATTGTAGCCCTGAAGCGGTGCCCCGTGTGGGGCCATGCGGCTGTCACCGCTGAGTCCTTCCGTTCGCAAATGTGTATTTTATTAGTCCCTGAGTAGGCAGTGGGGCTGGCTTCTCTCCCCGAAAGCTGGTGGGATTCCTCTCTGAGGGCCTCCAGCTCCTCAAAGCTGTCTTTGGGATGGGAGGGGAGGAGAGGGCACAGTTGGCACAGAAAGACAGAGAAAAAAATCAGACAGCCACAACAGGACATGCGGAGGGAGGTCCAGGCCCTCAGTTCCAGAAAGGACACAATTAGAAGCAGAAGCTGAAGGACATACCAGGCAGGCAGGGTTTCCGCCCATCCATACTCCTGACCAGGACCCTGTGCCCTCCTCCCCGTCACTGTGGGCTTTGGCAGAGGAGGGGGTGGTGAGGCCGACAGCCAGAAGCAGTAGCACCCACACAGTGCAGGGTATACAAGTATTCCCTTATCATTTAGACGGTGAGCACCTGAAAGACAGGGAGAAAGAGGGAGTTTGTGTGTGTGATCTTTGTAGGCCCAGGTCCAAGCACATGGTCCAGGCTCTTAATACATGGAGGCTAAATTGAAGCAATTTGCACCTACCCAGAAGAGGGGAAGAGGAAATAGTAAAACTCTACTCAAGAACAGAGATCTCATCTGCCAAGTAGGCCTCAGACATCTGGGAAAGAAGGCCAGGGCGGACTGGCATAGCAGAGCTCCCAAGAATGGCCCACCCTACAACTCAGGGCACACCCACCTTTGCCTTCTCCTTTGGGGACCCCGACATTTACTTAGCACTGATGCTCCAGGCTCTCCCTCTAGAATGGTAAGAAATACAAGAGCACAGAGGTGAGCAGGTGAGAAGAGCAGAATGTCTGGAGTCAGAAGGTATGCCCCTCGCCCGGTGCTGGACTTCCCTACACCGTATGATCCACTTCTCTAAAATGGGAACGACCACCTGGCAAAGGAAAAGTCATCTCTCATATGCTGCATGTAGGATGTCTATTGGTGTGGCCTTCCTGCTGGTAATTTGTAAAAATTCTTTCAAACGAATACACCTTTGGATTTGGCAGTGCCACACCGAGAAATTTATCCTAAAACAATGATCAATCCTGGGGCAAAATTCAGCTGCAAGAATGGGCATTATTTATTCCGAACAGCAAAAGCTGGAATAATCTAAACCACAAATAATAGAAATTTGGCTGAGCAATTATAGTGCATTGGTAAATGGAATGCCATTTATAGGAGCATACCATATATTTCCCTTTTATGCAGAGGTATTTATGACATGTTGCTAAGTATAAAAGGCTGCTTACCCAACAGCATGTATATATGATACTGTTTTGAAGAAAGAAGAGTTTTACTCTATCAACTGGGATGGTTTTTGTATTGTAGGATTACAGGTAACCTAAAGTTTCTCCCTCTTATTTGTCTGCTTTGTGAAATAAGCATATGTTACTTTGCGAGGGTAGTTAAAATTAAGTTATGATATTAAAATATTGACCTCTAGAGGTTGTTTTAAGAGTTAAACGAGGTATCATATGAAAACACTTTGTAAACTGAAAAACTGACAAAACAGATATAAGACAGGGGCTCTGCCCACAAATTGCTCACAGTTTGGGAAGAGATGAAAGATCCGTAATATACCTATAGCATGAAGCAGGACGTGGTGAGGGCACCCGGAGAGTGAGAGAGCGTGTGACTTGGAATCACAGAGGAGGCACAATTACTTCTGGCTGTAGAGGAAAGGGCCGGAATGCTTGAGCTGAACATTAAAGTGTGCTTAGGGTCTTGTCTGGTAGAAACAGAATTGGGGCAGCGAGAGAAGTGGGAAATTGTGGGATACGTTTGGAGAACGGAAGTGGATGTGTTTGGATATGGACAGAACCTACAGGTGATGGATACAAGGTGGGTTCAGAGAGGCAGCTGGGGGCCCCGCTGCGGGTATCTTGAGGGCTGCACCTGGTAAGATGCAGTCAGTGAACCTCTGCTGTGCCTCCTTTGAGCAAGGAGTCATGGGAATTCTGGAGCAGGAGGTGATAGCCTTATGCCCGTGGCAGGCACAGGGAGACACTCGTGGCAGCTCCTGGCATGTCCAAGGCCCTGGGTGGGTGCAGAATGAACTTTGCTGGGAGGCAGCTGACAGGCCGGGGGTTAACTGTGGAGATGAGGCAGGTTGGCTGGCATGGCCAGGGATGAGGGCCCTCTCTGGGCTGTGTCACTGGGAGTAGAAAGGAGGGAAAACCACCTTCTGCCCTGGACAGGGGTGGGTGCTGGGGAAGAAAGGGGAGTTGAAGATGAGGTGGGGCTTGGGAGGGAGGAACCAGGTTTGTGTCCCAGGTTTGTGCCTGGGAGTCATGCACAGAACTCAGACACCTGGCCCCTTGTGGCCGGCAGTCTGGGCCGAGATGCTCACCACATGTTCCCTCTTATGTCCACTGGTCCTGATCCCTGGGTCCCCTCTGCATGGAAGGCACTGGCCATGGGTCCTGGGCCTCCTGCTGCTTTGAATGTGGCCTGCAGGATCCTGGGTGCTACGTCTGCCACCTCACCTCGCAGCAGTGCCCTCTCATACACGTGCTCGTGCCCACACGCACACCCCAGAAGGAAGGCGGGAAGTCTTGTCCCAGCCAAGGCCTACATTCCCACTTCCCCTCTGCATCTCCCAGCCCAGGACCCTGTTTAGCTCCTCCTGTTGTCATGTCGCTAGTTAATTACATTCTTTACTGAGGTGCAAATGTGTTTTTACACGGAGAGTAAGATGGTGTTAACTAGGAAGGAACTGTGAATGTGACAGATGCGCTTCCCTCTGGTTGAAGGGCTGGGATTCTTGGCTGGGGGTGTTCCTGGATCTGTCCAGAAAATGTACCCCAGGCGTCCAGCAGCCCCCCTGCACCCCATGACCATATTACCATCCTGGGTCCAAGCATGGCCTTCTGGAGTCAAATCAACTCGATCCACAAGAAGAAATTAATGATTTGTAAAGTATCAAGGCAGATCTTACAGCAATGCTGACCACAAACCTCAATATCCAGAGACCTTGGTTCATTGCAAACATTGAGAAACAAAATTAATTCACTTTAATCTGAAAACGAATATGTCAGTGGTGCAGCCAAAGCCGCCTTTAGGCCAAGGCTGCCCTTCACTGCTGAATCCCACTCTGGGTCCATTGCCCTCCTGACTCCTCCTTCCTGCTGCCTGCAGGCATCCTCCCCTTCCCCCCATCCACATCCGGACATCCGGGCCAAAGCCTGCCACTGGGAAAGGATCTGAAATTCATCCACACACCTAAAAATGTTGCAACTCCTACTTTTCCTCTGGGTTCCCTATTGTCTGAAACAAGAAGCCAGCACTGGCCTCCCCTGGGCTCAGAACTCACTCAGAGACCTGCCCACACCCACCCACAGGGGAGACAGAGCCACCTGTATGCCTGACGTTAGGAACCCAGGCTGGTGACAACAGGACACTTCCAACTGCAACAAGGGTTTGGGCTCTAAATATGGCCTGAGCAGCCACCCTGAGACTCAGTGGAGTGTGGTATGGAGAGCAAATCCTTTATAGCCGGCCTGGGGAGGGGGCGTGATGCATAGAGCCAGTGTCCCCTCACACTCCACCGCTGCACACCTCCAGCCTTTCCTTCTGAGAGCTGTTCTGCCCTTTTTTGCAGGTGATTTGGGTCTAGCTGACAGGAAGAATTTCTGGCCCAGCTGGAAGTGAAAAGAGGGAGTGAGTGTCCTGAGAGCCATCCTAGAGTCCCCAGGATCACCAAACAGTAAGATCTAATCTCCATCCTTTAACACATACTTAAACCCCCAGGCAGATTATCTTTCCTTCTAAAAATGTCAAGAAGCAGCCCATAACATGAGCTGACACTTAGCACATACAACCTTTGAAAGCACAACACTGTAGCATTCTTGCCACGTCTTTCCTCCTGAGCTCCTTGAGGACAGGACGAGGGCCCTCCCTTCTCCTGGCATATGTCTCTTTCCTTCCACTTACTGTGTGAATGGTAAATTGTTATTGACACAGATGGATGGGCTGTGGCTTACATCCACGATGATAATAACATTTGTACCACCCTCTGGAGCAAGCATTACCACTGAAGAATTACCAAGGGGTGTTTGTTAAAAATGCAGTTCTTGAGCCTCACACAAGAGTCTGATTCCATGAGTCCCAGTTCAGACCAGGAATCTGCACCCCAAGTGTTTCTGATGAACATGAAGGAAACTGCATCCCAGGTGTTCCTGCTGAAGTCTGAGAAACAATTCTTCAGACTGTGGAAACCTTTAATCCTCTTATCAGATAAGGTTCTTAAATCACCTTAAGTAACTACATGATGTGGAAGATGTAAGTATCAGTATAGGCAGTGTGGATAAAGTGAAGGTTCCTGCAGCCAGGATCCTCACCTGAACCTAAACTACTTGATGTAACTGGCCTGCTGCTAGGCCACTGCTTCCACACCAGTATGTATATAGGCTATTATTGACTGAGTCACTATATAAAGAGCTCTGCCCAGGGCTCTGGGTGGAGGCAAAGATGAAGGGGGATTACAGACCTGCAGACTGTTGGATACAGGCATGATTCTAGTGCTCGACCTATCACCAGGAGAACAAACTGGGTAATAAATCCTTTCACCCCAAGAACATTCCATTGTCATTCCTTGGTCTCACTGAATCCATAGTGAACTTGCCCGGGGCTGAAACCCATTGGCAAGACAATTGGTGACATTGGCAGGATTCACTGTTGACCAAGGAAAAGAACAGGCTGCCCTTATGGGAGGGGTGCTTCAGCCAGCTGCCCCTATGAATGGGAAGACAGTCAGTTGTTCACCAATGGGTATGTGGTCTGAGGTGGCTTGCCTCCTAGAGGGCTGGTCCCCACCCTAGGACTGGAGGCAGGTGGGGGTGACACCTGAGGCCGTAAGAGTGGCCCTTGGTATAGTAAGCAGGTCCTTTGAGAAACAGAGTGCCCGTGAGGCAGTGGGGACTGTGGGTTGGCTGCTTCTCACTGTATTAAAAAAGCCTGCAGATGAGAAGAACATGCTCCTGAAAGAGACAAGCAATGACAGCATGAGAACACAAGCTGAAAACTGCTATGGATTCATTGAAGAATGAAATAACATTGATATGAGAGGAGACAACACAAGAATGCTGACTGCAAGGTACTGTTGAAGAAGTAAAAAATTTGTTGGTGACTGAAATGGCATCATTACAATGGTACTGTGGAAGACGTAAAGGCCATGAAGGAAAAGGACGGACCCTTGCAAAGACCACAAGAAGATGCAGTGCGAGAACGTGAGCTGCGAGGTCCAGGGGAGCATAAGATTCCTTACAGAATGAGACCGCAGCACTGCCAGGTGCTCTGAGGGAGGCAAAGGCCATGGAGAAAAAGGACATACTCCTGAGGGAAGCACAGGAAGAGGTGGCATGAGAATGCCAGCAGCGAGGCATTGGGGTGAAGGTAAGAGAGCTGTTGAAGACTGAGCTGGCACTGCTGTGAGGCACTGTAGGAAGGTAAAGGTTGTAGCAGAGGAGGCGCTCGGGGGAGGGGACAGAAAGGTGCCACCAGCCCCAGAAATGGAGGAGCTGGGGGAAGGATGAAGGGGTGGTGCCAGAGGCACTGACCCCTCCTCTATTGAAAGTATGCCCAGTGGTTGTAAAAAAAATAAAGGAATAGCAACTGAGGGTTCCTCTGGGAGAGGTGCAGCCCCCTCCCCAGGTTGTGGAGCACTCTGGGCTCTACCCCTACAGTCAGGCTGAGCTGGTGGGTTTGGGCTCCCAGTTTTGGCAGAAGCCCTTGGAGTCAATATCAGCTTGGCTCCTGCATCTGTGGGATTTAGGGGTGGATGGGATTGTTCTGTTTGGATCAGACATGGGAAAGCTGGCTTCCCTGACAGTCCATCCTGCCTTGAGGCAGCAGTTATAAAATGCACATCAGACACCAATAATCTGCAGGGATGGCCAGTCTGCTTATGGATAGTGCTACAGTGTTTGAATGAGAAACCCCGAAAGGGAGCCCTGAGCCCCATAGACATGCTAATGCATATTGCTGCCTCCCTTATACAACTGCACGTACAAACCAAGGAATAATCGTTGAAGCCAAGGTTTGGCCACCAAAATAATATTTTGTTGCCAGCACCAACTGCAATAAACTGTGGAGACTCCATTGAGTGGACGTGGCCTTGGACATTTTGACACATGGACCAACGATGGCTGACTCTCCTGGCACCTGGGGGACAAAGCCTGGAAGCTGGCCTCCTGTGTATTCCTGGAGTAACAGCAGAGTGGCCCCCAAAGATTGCAGTAGTATATCCTGAACAGCCAGAAGATAGGAGCATCTTACCGGGGAGTTTTGTTTCATCATTATGGCCAGTGCATGCACCTCCAATAGCACTATACATAGACCCCAAGTAGCCCCCATGGGGAGAGGGGTAAAGTTATGGTGTACTAGATCTGGACAGGACCCCCTTCCTGCCACAGTCCTCTTTAGCATGCATCCTACCTAATGGACAAGATTTGCCTATGTTGGTGTCATTAAAACGTGTGTCTTATCACCCTTAAGGTCTTTGTGGATTGGGCACACACCCTAATGTGCTACTCACTAGGGTGCTTGGAGCTCCCTATCCATACCACTACTAAGTGTGAATCATCAACTCATTCATCTAAGTAGAACTGGTTTTGAATATAGCTGAAATAATCTCCTCAGGCTTGAGGATTATTATAATTTTTGTTACCTGTATCAAAATTTTGTTGTAACTTAATTTTTGTTATTATCTCTATATTGTTGTTACCCTCTGTTGCTGTTGTGGAGTCTGCTTACAGTGCTCCAGCTTTCTAGCACAGGGACCATTGTGGAAGATTAAGAGCATGTAGATTGTGAGGCAAGAACCCTGGAGGGGTGGAGTGTGGATAAAGTGAAGGTTCCTGCAGCCAGGATCCTTACCTGAATCTAACCTGCTTGATGATATAACTGGCCTGCTGTTAGGTTACTGTTTCTGCACTGTACCTAGTCAAGAAGCTTTTATTGACTGAGTCACGATATAAAGAGCTCTGCCCAGTGCTCTGGGTGGAGGCAGAGATGAAGGAGGATTACAGACCTGGAAGACAGGCAGGAATTTAGAAATCCAGTTATCCAAAGCAACCCTTTTTTCTTTCAGTATTCCATGATAAGGGCTGGATCTGTTATGGTGAGATTGGGCCCTAATTTCAAAGGACCCCGCCCAAGATTTTGTAAGTTTTCCTGATATTTTAAGGCTTCCATGACCTTGCAGTTCATTAGCCTTCACTTGGGGGACAGTAATTGTTGCCAAATTTCTCACAAAAGCTGGTTTCCCTGAAAAGAGGGAGAGGGAGAGAGTTAACTAGAAAGGTAAATGTTCCTGGGTTCAGCTCCCCAAGCAGGTAATTAGCAAAGCCACAGACACTCAAGAGAACCACATGTCTGAGGGACTGGCCAGGGTGCTTCTCTGGCTTCTACGCCCTCTAGTCATTTGGGGAGCTCTGTGCTTTAGGTGTATTAGTGAGTGGGGAGACTGCTGGAGTACATGCTGCGTGAAAACGTGGGTATATCCATGTGGGGTCCGGCTTTACCCCGAGTGTGGGTTGGGCGATTCACACTTCAAGGACAGCTGGCAATCTTTTCAACAACATTTGGAGCCTGTGTGCAAAGTGATGTCAAAGGGACTTCACTGCAGGCAGTGGCTGCAGTGAGGGCTTGAAGAAGGTGGGGAGATGGTAATTAAAAATAAAGAAAAAAGGGACAAGAGTTAGGACTCCTGGTGAACCAGTGTGGACAGATGTGGTGCCCAAGTCCAGGGGCTTTCTCTGGGACTGGCAGTGGAACTCAGCTCTTTCCTGCTGAACTACCCAGTAGAGTCCTGTTTCCCTCCAGGCTGAGGCTGCAGAGGCTGGAGTCCAAGCAGGCCAGACCATGCCTGGGAGAATGGAGGTGCCCCCTGCCCTCCCCACATGGTAGAATCTGGGGAAGGATGGAAATGGATTGACAGACTGCTGATTGCTGCTGTCAGTTGTGTCTCTGGATGGAAGGCTCCCATGGGTGAGACAGAGGCAACCCCAAATATCACCCCTGACCGCCCTCTCTCCCCAACTCACACACATTCACATATCCACTGACCCCTGAAGTATCTTGCCAAGTGAGTGCCAGTCTGGTCTCTGGGGACTAAATGCAGTTGACAGTGCTGCTTGGATGGGTGCAATCGGCATGGACAATTTTTGTAGTAGCTAATGCTGGAAGTGTGGCAATCAGAGAAGCCGCCAGCTGTCTCACTTAAATTCTTAGCTCTCTCGCTCTCTTTTTTTAAAATCGTTTTGCTTACATAATCCACCCCCTTTTTATTCTCTAATTCTCTCCTTGCAAAGCTGGCACCAGAGGGGAAGGGCTGGGGTGGCAGGGGTAGCAATTACACATCAGTTTGGGGAGCATTTACATTTTGCAATTACAATTTAAAAATAAGCCTTGTTAATGATCTCCACGTGTCAATGACAAGCCCTAACTGACATATTCTCCTGGGCTTGCCTGCCTCCCCCTGAAGTCAGAGGCTCAGCAGAGGCAGAGGCACCTAGGGAGACACAGTGGGAGGCCAGGGGCAGCATCTGAGGGGCAGCAGGTGCTCTTGAGGTTAGTGGAGGGCAGGTAGGGAGCTGAGTGCCTAGAAACGAAGAACTCAGGACCCCAGCTTCTCTCCTCCTTGCCATACTGAGCTCTGTCCTAGCCCATCTCCTTCCAAGCCCTGACACAGTAAGGGCTATGTGT